ATGTTTATTCCCCACAAATAATAATGTATAGTGAATGCCTTTGCATATAGGCTTGAATGCCTTTGCTTTTAGACTTGCACTCTATTCATTTACTAACTGCTTGTTTTCTTAAAAAAAAAAAACTAACACTAGCTTCTCTATTCTTTTTTATTCTATTTGTTTTATTTTTATTTATTATACAATTAACAAAAGCAAAAAAAAAAAAAAAAAGTTTAATGAAGACGCAAAAGTGCAAAAAAACAACAACATTAGTGTTTAACTATCATGCTAGCAGTGTTTAGTCTACTTAGTGTCAAATCTTGTGTAGTCATGGGAAACCGTTTGAAAAATAAGCTTTGCTGTGGAAAAGTTGCTCAGTAACCACAGAGAGCTTTACAGGATGTGCTGTTATATAACAGATTGTTTTAGAGCGTCTTGCAGCAAAATAAGTCCACCTAGTGTTAAAATCTTTAATCAGATCCCTGTGGTCTTCTTGTCTCCAATCTCTCAACATTTGTACTGCAAACAAAGAAAAATAAAATGGGTTGAATATTACTTTACAACAGAGCTATTCATCTCTAGAAAGTGCTCTGGGATTTTTGTTAATTGTATATTTTGACTCAATTATAAACATTTTCTGTATTCTATACATATGTAACTGTCTTTGCAATACTTTCAAGAGGTCCAGTCTGTTGTTTCCTGAAGCTAAAGAGGTGGTTTTTAATCAGTGACCAGTGATGTTACCATTACAATCGATGACACTGCAGTGAGTGTAACTGATGGCTGCTGTTTTCTTTGGCTAGCAAAGAAGGAAAATATTGACTTTTTGTAAATTTAATCAGTCTTTCCACTCACCAACTGCATGATGATGACCCCTACTTTTAATATAATTTACTCATTTTACGTTGTTTTTTGTTGCTTAGGTTTTTGTCATGGTATGTTAAGGGCAGTTTTAGGTCAAAAATGGGATACTAAACCATTAACAATCACATATATATAACAATCATACAATCATATATATATATATATATATCTGTGTGTGTGTTTGTGTGTGTGTGTGTGTGTGTGTGTGTAAGTATAGAGAAAGAGAGAGAGAGAGAGAGAGAGAGAAGCTGACTTTGGCCATTAGCAGAGTTACTGAACTGGAACTATACAAAGGCAAAAACCAAATTGCACAAAATATTATTAACTTATTGTTTATGGAATGTAATTATAAAACTGACTACATTTGTAAATAAATATTTTGTGAAATTTTGTATAAACTAATATTTGTACAAACCCCATAGCAACAGTCTTCTTAACAGTTTTAATGGACAAAAACAAGCATATTAAAGACTCAGGTACTGGGAAACTCAAGCGATAATACTGACCTTCAGAGATTGTTGCAAAAATATTATTCAGACGAGGCATCATCACAAAATAATCAAGATTAGCATTTAAGATAACATTCTTCGAGTCACCACTTGAAACATAATGAATGCAGTGTTACATCTCTGCATCCTGTAACATCTGAGATCAATCAAGATCAACATTACAAATATATATTTTTTATAAAGTATATAAATATACTTTATATTAACAACTTTATATTAGCAAGAATTCAAATATGGATGTATTCTGATTGACCCATAATGAAAAAGTGTCTGTTTTAGTTGAGAAACTCATTACAACTCTCAATACTTCAATATGTAAATTGAAGAATCTTAGAATTTTATTGATATTAATGTCTGGCAGGCATCTTGGCACACATACAACTGCAGAGAGCCAGACTGCCAGATAGCCATTATCCACATTAGTCGGTCGTGCAGTATGTTAGATCTTCACTATAGCCACTAATGGACTGAACAGCCTCTTGGTCTCTTATCTTTTGATGCAGTCACTATTGTTGTTCCCTTTTCTAAAGGATCACAAGAAGCCCCTATGAAACCTGTAGGGATTTATCTCTTTGCAGTGAGTTAAAATAACAACATAATCAAGAAATAATGTTAACATTTTTAAAAAGCATTCAAAATTGAGAATTTGATAATACATCCAAGTATATTAGCTACACTGCTTTTAGAGACAACATTAACAATAAGTATCCAAATTATGTTATTATTTATGGAAACAACCTATAAGACCCCTTCAGTCTCATTAAATCTCATTTAATTTTAGATTGCAGTGAACAAATTAAACAATTGCTAATTGATTGGTAGATGACCACAGGGCATGTTGTCTTGTGTTTTCAATTACAGAAGCAAAGGCAAACTCATGAAACAAAAGACAACAATTCTGATTACAAAGCTGATCACAATTCTGAAAACAACAACAACAACAACAACAACAACAGAAAAAACAAAGCATAAATAGTACATAAATATCTGTGCCTGCAGAGATGTGTGAACTTTTGTGTCACAACACAAAAAATTGTTAGCACAGGCAATACGTTTGTGCATAAATAGTGGTCATGACATGATCAACAAGTCTTGTCTGATTGTGAACCTCTGGGAACAAAATGACAAGGAGCTGTTTGACCCCTTGAAATCTCCACCAATGGACTTCAACCCAGTTTCAAACAAGACTTCAAGCCAGAGATCTGAATATAAATACAACTTTCATGTAATTCTCTATATACAAGTTCTTGTTTTATTTGTAATGTTAATTAAAAGCAATAGTTCGTCTAAAAATGAAAATTCTCTCATTATTTACACACCCTCATGTCTTTAGAAACCCACATGATTTTCTTTCTTGCATGAAACAGCGAAGGAATTATCTAGAAGGATTTCAAGAAAGACATGAGGGTGAGTGAATAATGACAGAATGCTGAGTTTTGGTCCTTTTAAATTAACTCATAAGTACAACACTAAGGGCCAGTCAACTTAAAAATGCATCTTAAAACCCTGCCTTCTTTTCCGTTCAGTTAGACACTATTGATAAATAAATTCAATCAGAGTTCTTTATTTTTTATTTTATCTCTCAATTTTTTTTTACAATGTTTTTTTTTCCACAATGTTTTTCAATGTTAATATATAGATGGACTGGAAATGAGAAGCCATCTCCCTTTTAGCCAAATAACAACTATGATAATTCATGTATCCACTGACAATCAGTGACTGGTTATGTATTAGTAGTTACATAATGAGAACACAATGATTCAAACAATTTCCTGAACAAAACAGCAATTTGAAATAATTCCTCAGTAACACAACAGATGGAAAATGTGGCAACCATTTCAAACCACTTGTGCAAAATGTGGATGGGGGCGTTTACTATTACAGAAGCACTTTGGTATACCCCAACCCCATACCAGATTAAATTATGATAATGGCATGAAACACAGTCCATCCCGGTGCAATGGAAAACACAAGCAGCACAGAATCAAATAATGATACACTTTAGAAGCACCATTACAAGGCAAGCACATCAGAGCAGTTAGTAGACATGTTAAACAGTTGCAAGCACATGCAAACATTTCTTATCAAAAACACACAAGCAGCGCCACGACCATCTGTTGATACAAGCCTAATGACAGCTCTAGCTGTGAACGGAGTCCCAGAGCTGTACGCGTTGTCTTACACAAAAAATAAATGTAAAACTCGAAATACATTCATGAAACCCTGTTGTTTGTAATGCAGACTTGCACACTTCGTGGCATCCGTGATTTGGCATCTGGCATTGCATTAGGACATTCACAGGTGGGTTATGATCTAAAATTATTTGCTGGTGGCTTCACATGCAAACATTACTTGGCAGCTCTTATTGCCTGTACATATATTATGAATTATGATTACAGATAAATCAATGGTGCTCTGTAGTTTCACTTACATTGGCGAAACAATGAACTGCTACTTAATTACACATAAAAATGTATGAAAGTCTTTGCATTAAAACATTACGTTAACAAGAAAGAATCAATTCCAAACTCATATGAATTTCTTTTTCCTCTGGTACATTTTTTCCCATCTCTACAGCAGCAGTTTGGAAAATAGATGAATGGATGTTTTTTCCATTAAATTACAAAGAAGAGTGACTGGAGCTTCAAAAGAGATTCAAAAACATGAAAGTAGTCCATACAATGTATGCATTAATTATATATGTTATATACAATGTTTGCATTAATTATATATTTATTTCCTCTGAAGCCATACATTAGCTTAGTGTGATGAACATATGTTTTTGCTTTTATGGTGCTTTTACTTGAACCTTGAAAGCTCTCCTTCAAAAATAAAACCAAATGGGTTTGTAAGGGCAAGTATATGATGAGAGAAAAATATAATGAATAAACCTTTCTATATGAAAGGAACTCAGATAAGAAGCCTTTGGCAACATAAATACAATGCTCTGAACAGCTTTAGTGTAGACTGTACTACTGTGGAGTACATAAGAATCAGTCACATTCATACACTGAAAGCACTGAATGGTCACAAGTCAGATGTTCTTTATCAGTTCAATGCACCAGTGAGCTGACAGGAGACCTGCTTTTCTACTCATGGAAACACTGGAACTTTTAATTTGGCAATGAAATATTATGCAATAATTCTGTTTTCCATTGCCCTATTCAGCAGCTACCCAAGCGGACAACAGCAAGTTAAGCACGACTAGGTGTCTGACAGTGCAGCCTGAGCCACATTCATTTCGCTATTAATTAAGTCCCATGTCAGTTTCATTAATTTTACTCTGTAATCGCTGACTGAGAGCATATGTCAAATGTTAAATCCATTTACAAAAGCATTCCGGTTCCCACTGACAACTATGCACTTTTGCAAATTGGCTACCACATCATTTCCAGAGCAATCAGAAATCACCGTTTTCACTGATGTTTCTCTGAGGTTATTATTTGGATGTGCCAAAAGCTTTTTGGTGGAAACAGAAAACTAGCTATTTGTTACTCCCTTATGCAATCTTCCAAATGTATTTACTGGTCATGGCACCTTTTCACATCCACCAATTTCATAGAGCTCTGACCTCCACGAAAATACATTACCTTGCCTCTCCCTTTTTTTCCTAGACACTGCTTTTGCATCTTCCTTGCTCATTTTCTTTCATCGGCAGGATGTAAAATCATTGGTGCAAACATTTTTTCTTGTGTTATGGGGATTTAACCTCTCCCATTGCTTAGATGACTGGGTCGAGGTTGCCTTCGTTTTGCAACGTATAACCAAAGCACGGATGGTCACAACATTACACGACAACGTGACCAGCAAAGAACATATCCCCAATGCCGCAAAAGTCGTGGCAAAAAATGTATTTCCCGTTACGTCCTTGTCACCTGTACTTATGAAGCACCAAGTGCCTGGCCACTGCAAAGTATACTTTCCAACCCCAGCAATGGGCAGTAAGGCAAACAGCAAAACCAGGCACCAGATGATGACCAGAACCTGCTTGGTCACGCTGGTTTTCATGTAATGTGAGTACCAGTGAGGAGCAGTGATGGCCAAGGCCCTCTCAACGGCCATGGCACTGGCTAAAAAGAGTGGACACAAACCAAAAGTGGTCATGCACACCCCAAAGAAAGCGCACAGAGTTCCCGAAGGGTCCACGCGTTTCCATTTCAGATCTGCTCTGTACACCGAAATGACAATCGGAGTTGTGAGCAGTTGGCCGACAAGATCAGTTAACGCCAAAGAGCCGATGCAAAGCAGAAACGATTTCTTCCTTTTATTTTCTTTTTTTCTGTATGCACTATAAACTAGCAGCATCGCGAGAGAGTTTCCGACCATTCCGGTGACCATCATAGTGATGGGAAAAAACACGGACACAGAGCCACAGCTGGAGCTTTTGCCAGCGCCGTCCTGTGAAGATTTGGAGTGGTTCAACTCCCACATCATGGTTCCAGCAGTCAGGTTTTGCAACAGGACATCTGAAGACTGACATTTAGATGTCATCCTTTTTCAGGAAGAGTGTTCATGGCCACAGCAGCCTTTGAAACAGGTGGAGTCCTCAGTGAAGTCCGCTTGACATCTGTCTCACTTTGAGCGCTCGGCTGTCCGAGAGCGCGCTATAAACAGGAGGAGGGGCCCTTATGGAAATGTAAAACATGCTCAGAAAGACAACTGAAAAATAGCGCAAGATACATAAAGAATATCTTAAACGCAAAGGATAAAATATTGTTATATGTAGATATATAAATGTGTTTAGTTCTTTATTTTTTTCTGCTCTATGGTAAATATAGCCTATGATTTTTATTCCCAAGCAAATGGAACACATTCGTTTTAGTATGACTGTAGGAATTTAAACTTCTGACAAAATGTAGTTATAACAAGCGTCGTAGCGAGAGTGCGTAATATAGCCTACGAAAACTTTCAGTGGGTAGGCTATACTTTTTTACGTTTAAATAGATTTTAGAATTAACTAAACTATCGCTAAATGTATTAAACAAAACAATATTGATTTTGGTCATATATAGGTAAATCTTCAAACAAGGGATAAATAATAACGGTTAATGTTTTATTCTAAGATAACCCCCCAAACCACCAGCTCACAGATGGGTTAGAACGCAACAAGTGCCACCTAGCGCTTGAAAAACGATCTTTTCAAAAAGATTATCATTAGTGTCTGCAGTGCAGGTGTATTTTTGTCTATCAGCAATGGTTAGTAATTCACACACGACTAATAAAATTATATTCTATAAAGTAGACGAGGAAAGAAACACATTGAACAAGTTTCTGATTAATGTATAATTTCACAAACATCACTAGAATTCCCCACAAGTAGCAGTGTGGGATCATTAAAACATCGGTCTTTATAGGTTTTTACTTGCAGTAAGTAAAAAATTTAAATAAAATCTAGAGATAATTCAATAACAGATCACAGAACACGCATCTAGGGGGAAAAGTTCTCAAGACATCATCACCCAATGCAATGCAGTAACATGGAAAGATACAAACAGTATGTTTCAGATTAACAAGTGTTTATTCATGTTGGTGACACTTGCGTAATTTTAATGAACAGTAAAACATTTTCATATTTTGTATGTTAGAATAGGTAGGGTGATTATTTCACATGTTCCAAATTTGATTTGACCACAGAAAAGAAAACCAATCCAGTAATTTATGTTATTAGTAATTTGAGTTTGTCCACTTGAGTCATCTAGTTTCTTAGTTCCACAAATGATAGATCATAAAATTAAGTTTATTACACACACAAAAAAAAACCTGACAAAAGGATACACAAAAATTTCACATTTCATGTCTTGCCAAAAGAAAATAAATCTCTACAAGTATAGAAAAAAACATACTTACCTTTAACGCACACAATTAGACAAGGCAATGTTACGCCTCAGAGGAAAAGCTCAATATAATATGCTGGCATTGTTGAGGTGGTTAAGTAATGTTTAAGCCATCAACATTTCTTGTGAGGCGTTTCATATAAAAGAACTATAAAACCAGCATTTGAGCACTTTTTAATGATCATAAAATTAAGTTTATTACACACACAAAAAAAAACCTGACGAAAGGATACACAAAAATTTCACATTTCATCTGTCTTGCCAAAAGAAAATAAATCTCTACAAGTATAGAAAAAAACATACTTACCTTTAACGCACACAATTAGACAAGGCAATGTTACGCCTCAGAGGAAAAGCTCAATATAATATGCTGGCATTGTTGAGGTGGTTAAGTAATGTTTAAGCCATCAACATTTCTTGTGAGGCGTTTCATATAAAAGAACTATAAAACCAGCATTTGAGCACTTTTTAATTCAGCATAAATGTTTGTTAATGAACTGCTTATTCTGACGGCAATAATGTCTGACAATGGATGAATAAAACTACTTTAGCAATATAGTTTGCATATTTCCCAACAAAATGGTTGATGTCCAGAAGATATGCACCATTTATAGTAACAGACTTGGATGTTATTTCTCTATAAACCCACTGACACTACAGACTTTACACCTTGAGTTATACGGTTTAGAGATTTGGCTAGATGTTAAAAAAAAAAAAAAAAGGCAGAAAACTTTTAAGAGATTACGTCAACAGGTGCGCAAGTATTTTTTTTCATAGAAATCAATGTGAATTCAAACAGTTGGGTAGTTGCAATAGCCCAAAAAAACTGGAGTTAGAAAAACAAAAACCAAACATGCAGTTTTAGAAAGATTTGTTTCTTTTGTTAATCATTTCTGTTTTGAGCTTGAGCCAGAGTGGGATGATCCAGATGAGCCTCTGCGCCTACAAAGAGATAGAAAGAAAGAGACAAAGAGAAAGACCATGACCGATTAAGTGATTTGGTTCTTGAAATCAAAACGAAGCATAAAAAATGTATTGTACAGAGAAAAGCGAAGGCAAAAAACTTTTAAGAGATTACGTCAACAGGTGCGCAAGTATTTTTTTTCATAGAAATCAATGTGAATTCAAACAGTTGGGTAGTTGCAATAGCCCAAAAAAACTGGAGTTAGAAAAACAAAAACCAAACCAAAAAAAAAACATGCAGTTTTAGAAAGATTTGTTTCTTTTGTTAATCATTTCTGTTTTGAGCTTGAGCCAGAGTGGGATGATCCAGATGAGCCTCTGCGTCTACAAAGAGATAGAAAGAAAGAGACAAAGAGAAAGACCATGACCGATTAAGTGATTTGGTTCTTGAAATCAAAACGAAGCATAAAAAATGTATTGTACAGAGAAAAGCGCAATTTTGTCACATTGTTTAAAAAATGTACTGCTATATCACTGAGCCCTGTGTATAATGCAGAAGGATGCCTGGTATCCAGGACACCATGTGTTACACCAAACCTTTCAGACAAGTGCGATCGCGCGCGTCTTTTTTTGCGGCCACCAGAGGAGGACCTGGAGCGACTCCTCTTCTGGCCTCCCTCAGGTGATGACGAAGGGGAGCGACACCTCTTCTTTGAGGAAGCAGAGCCCTTTCCTGATCTGGAGCTGGATCTTTCAAATGGGATAAATAAGCATTCCCATGAGGTCAACAAATATCATTGGACAGATTACTATAATAACATTATCAAAGGGACTGAAATGGGAGGAAAACATCCCCCCACGTCTCTAAATACTACAGTAAATACTAAAACTTCTTTAAAAGACCAAAACTGCAGGTCTGACCAACTGAACTTTCAGAAGAACAAAGCTGAACCCGTCAAGAGAGAATCAGTACAACTTACAGCCCTAATTGCCTGCTAGATGTCACAGTGTTACCAGATAAATTGAGATCTGGGACACGGAATAATCAACAGCTCCAGAACATTTCAAACAAGCACAAAAAAAGTTCTCGACACCTTTGCTAAGAACAAAAAAAATCAAACATTCCCAAAGAGATTAAGCTAAATCTCATTGCTCCTCACAGCACCCTCATTTAATACTTTATTTTATGGTGATCAAAAGTCGACTTCTGTTCCGACTCAGAAGGACAGAGTTCACTACAACAACCACTGGCTGTTTATACACACACACACTCTCCTGGAGAGTGCATGTGACCTCATTCACCTGGAATTGGACCTGGAGCGAGAACGAGATCGAGATCTGGAACTGGATGAGCTTCTGGACCGGGATCTGCGAAACACCGACATCAAAAAAAAACAAAAACAAAAAAAAAAACAACAAATTTCCAATTTTTCCATGAAAGTTAAAGATCCTCTGGTGAAAACCCAAGAAAAATAAGTGTTAAAAAGATCCGCTTTGGCTTTTTTTAAAGGCTTTAAAACACTGGTCAAGTTGTGTTGATGGCATGAATTACATGTAAATAAATTGAACAGTAATGAACATCAAATTTTATACTGACACAACCCTCTACGCACACCTTGGCAATATAATCGCCATTGGCTAGTACATTTTTTTGTTTACTCGCCAGACTGATATACTATAAAATGATTAAAACAGAATTATGCAATGAGATTTGAACAAAGATTTGAGCTGATACTGACATTTGTCTGGAGTTACCCTTGACCTGTACCCTTTTACCTGGACCTAGACCGGGAACTTGAACTGGATGAACGAGATGATGACCGCGAGGAGCCGGAGCGACTCACTTTCTTTTCATCACTAGCATCCAAATCGTACTTGGACAAATCTGCATCATCTTCATCATCCTAAAAGGATTAAGATCAAAAGCACATCAAAAACTGTGATGGTAGGTTCATATATCTGCTCCAAAGATTTTTTTACATAGCATCATATTGCGATTTTTCAAATCCGTTCTGTATGACTGACTATTGCAGTCATTTTACAATCGACAGTGTGGTCAATAATTTCAGACAGCAACAAATTAGGGGACCACTAACATAGAACTACAGAATAAAATCTCTTACGTCAAGTTTGTATTTTGAAAGATCTCCGTCTTCATCATCATCATCATCATCTTCGTCGTCTTCATCACCACCATCATTTTTTTTTGGTTCCTCTTTCTTTTCATCGTCCTTCTTGCTTTTTCCACGGTACTTCTTTTTTATGCGCCCAAACTGTCCATAAGACCAACAAAATTTTTTACATTCAAGTTTAGTAGTGTTAGTAAACTATACGTATTGTGAAAATGTCATCTGTGTGTACTTAAACAAAATAATAAAACAAAAAACCACTGACCTCATCATACTCGCCATCAGATTCCTCTCGCTCATTGTAGACTAAATTCTCTCTCTCATTGAACCCTCCACCATATCCTGTTACATGCATCAAGCATATGACATTAAACAAAAACTCATAAGGTTGCAGTCAATATGCAAAAAAATTCACGCTAACATTCCATTTTGAACAAAGACAAAGCTATACCTGTCCTTTCCTCCAGTTTGGCATATTTAGGGGTGTTACACATGTTGCACTCTGATCTTCTGGCCCAGTTTACATTGCCACACCTAGATTTAAAGCAAGAACAAGTACAGCTATTAATAACACTGGTATATTAGGGTCTCAAATTCATAAACAAGAGAATGAGAAGAGGGCCCTTGGGTTATTTAAAGAGTGGATCAACTCTCAATAGTGGTATGAAGTATTGAGTATCAAAATTGGCCTTCTTTTAGTCAATGTCGTTTCAGAACTAAACAAGAAAAGGGGTGATCAACCTAAAGAAACTGGAAAAAAAAAAAAGTCCATTCTTGTCATTAACAGCATATAGTCCAATATGGGTTGGATTTGGAAAAATCCAGTCCAGAGGTGCATTTCCCAAAAGCAACTTTGGTTGCAAGTTCCATTGTTACCAATACAATTATATGGAACTTACGACCATAGGTAGTTAACGATACTTTTGGGAAACGCACCCCAAGACAGCCACTGCCCTGCAGAGTTTAGCTGCACACTGAAGACTTCTAGCTGACTTTTAGCTGAAGACTTCTGTGCCCTTCAACTGGAGCTGAAAACACCATAATATCGTTTGAAGCACATGAATGGCAAAGTGAAGTCATATTTGCACCATTTTTACAAGTGATCTATAAGACGACTGCCCCCTAGTGTGATTAGGGATGGAGCTAAACTCTGCAGACAGGAAAAAGTGGTTGAATTATAAGCAGCACTGCTCAAAAAGCTTTGTGACATGTCACTTATTTTTTACTTCAACATTTTCAAGTGAACCGACCCCATTCATTGCTCTTCATGACAGGATATCATTACACTGTGTACATTATTCTGCTCCATTAAGCAGGTTGAACAGTGTAGGATTCAAATGAGAAGTAAAATATGAAGTCGGAAGGAATGGTTTCCTTTAATGTCACTGAAACAAATTTAAAAGAAATGCTGTTGATGTAGAAGGGTAAGAATGGCTGAAACATTTCACTTCCTGACATTGTATTCAACAGATACTTCTTGTGATATTAATCATTTTGAATGTATTTATACTGCACATTGGATGTGTAATTTTATAGCAATACCCACGTTTTGCACTGCCAATCGTTGGCACTGAAGAGACCTTTGCTCTTCTCAGCCAGGGTCTTTCCAATCTCTGTTCCCCCTGCTTTCATCATCTTTGCTTCAGTTGTCTTTTCTGTTTCAAGAAAATTGGCTAATGAGTTCAGACTGCTCATGATAAAATACTGTAAGCATGGTGCATGTACCGATACTACTTTTAGTGACACACCCCTAATATACAAAACGTAATGACAAACAATAAGTATAACCCACTTACCACTGCCACATCTGTTACAACTCGTTCTTCTGGCAAAGTTGACATTTCCACACCTAAGATATTACAAAGGCAAAATTGGTTAGGCCTCTAGACATTATAAGCATCATTCAACACTCATGCACACAAAAAAACAGACCAACTCACTGACATTTTCAAATAGTGGGACGTTCCATTGGTGCAAACACTAAAATAGATGTATAATATTTTTTTCTCCAAACATTTCACATAGCCCAAGGCATTGCAACTACTAATGAAGTTAGTTAGCTATCTGGATTTAGCAGACTCGTGCACGGAGCTAACGTTACTGACTAACTAACGTTAATCGCTGAACCTAAGAAATATGAGGGTGTAATTTTAAAAAAGTATTTGATTACCAGTGCTCCAGTGGAAAGAAATTAATATATAGTTTAATTTGGTTAAGGAAAATGAAATGAACGCGTTTAATAGCGGTTACAGGCCCATTCACACACTACAGCCGTGTGCTAAAGCTAACAAATGCTATGCTAAACGAAACGCGTGATCTTCTCTCAGCCAACATGCATTTTCCCAGAAGGCTTACCTTATAAGTAATGCAAATACACGCTTATATTAATTATTGGGCTTTTAAATAAGGCATTATATAGCGAGTCTTACTTTTCATCAGGACAAACCCAATCTCCGTCGCTAACGCGAAAACTCTTTCCCGACATGTTCGTCCTCTCAGCTGCCCCCGCCACAAATCCGCCAGAGAAATGAAGAACTCTTTATGAGTATTGGTATGTATTTATTACACCAATACTAGCATTTGAACCTAAAAGTAATGCAAAAACAACACTTTAGAGTGTGAAAGAGCGTATAAAGGAATACGCGCGCTACACTGAAAGACACACGGGTTGCGTCTCATTATCTAACCGGCTCTCTCTGCCTAGGCAAGTTTTGCACATGATACGCGGGATCCAGACGTCGAGTGTTGCTGTCTAGATAGGTGGCTCGCTAGGTTTTGAACCACAGCCACAAATTTGACGTGCAGCAGTACTAGCTCCAATTATCATTACATACGTGCAGTGAAATCTTATTAGATTTATTTCTAAAAGGATTCAATTTATCTAAACTACGTGTGACAATTCAAACAGATGATGAAAACAGACCAAACACATTCATTTTAATTCCCTGGTTCATTTCATTATGAGCCATTTATTTTTCAGAGGCATCAAAAAATTATAAAACAAGTCAATATAATAACAAATAAGACAAAATATTTTGCCCAAATGCAATATAAAGAAAATGCAGTAGGCCATAAAGCCTATATTATTCTGTATATGCACATGCTAAGTAAAACCAATGACTAATTACGACGACATAAGCTATTATGAAAAAAATAACTAAAACT